AGGCGGCCGAGCTCCGCCGCCTTCTTGAACAGTCCCTTGCGGCGCTTCGTGAAACAGACGTTTCGGGCCTGCAAATACTTGATTTTTTTTATCTCGATCTTGACTTTGCCTTTTCCCATTGACAATTCTTTCAAAAACTATGTGAGTCGCTGATTCTTTAGAAAGTTGGGTTTCAAAACAAAGAGCATTCGAATTTAACACCGGAGGAATTAACGGTTCTATGGTATGAGTAGTTTATTTGAAATTTTGGAGGAAAAACGGTCATAGGGTAGAGCTGATAAGGAGGCAATTTCAAACCACGGCGCGGAGAGGGATTAACGGGCAGAGGGGTTTCCGACTTCCTTCCTCCCGGCAATGCGACGAGGGTTTTAATTGTCATCTCATCGGCACTTCGGCAAAGCTGGGATGTGGCTTTTAACTTTTTATACATTGGATAGATTGGTGAATTAAATACCAACATTATACCAGCTAAAATTTTAAAACACATTATTTAATTTGGTTGTTAGCTTTAATTCTTATAAATAGTTAATGAAGCATTATATTTCATTCATAATATGATGTCATTTATGAATCAGGGGTTATGTATGCATGACTTTACAAACTAATAATAATAAAATTTTGTGTCTGACAACATTGGTTTAAGTGGATGAAAAATTGTCGCTGACAACACAATTTTTGCTCTGATACTAAACTAAAAGTAATTTTGAATGCTCTGATACCAAATCAAAAATATTTTCTAACTAATATAGGTTTTATATAACATTTAATGCTATATATGTGGGTTATGTTTGGCAAACCTAGTTGAAAATGTAGCTGAAAGCTGAAAATGAGCTGAAATTTAAAAAGCTATAATGGGCATCTCCAGACTTTAAGTCGTCGTAGGCGTTGTAACTTCAACAACTGGAGTAGAACCCGCGTTTTCTTCTTCTCGTTTTTCTGTTTCTTCACATCTTTACCGTGTTGATTCCTCCATGGTCAACAACTTCTCCATTTTCGAAACCTCACCAAAAATGTATGGGTTTCCCCAGGAGAAAAGACCACGGCAGCGATTCGAACTTCGGGGAAGAGGCGGCCGAGCTCTGCCGCCTTCTTGAACAGTCCCTTACGGCGCATCGTGAAACTGACGTTTCGGGCCTGCAAAGACTCGATTCTTTTATCTCGATCTTGGCTTTGCCTTTTCCCATTGACAATTCTTTCGAAAACTATGTGAGTCGCTGATTCTTTGGAAAGCTGTGTTTCGAAACAAAGAGCATTCGAATTTAACACCGGAGGAATTAACGGTTCTATGGGATGAGTAGTTCATTTGAAATTTTGGAGGAATAACGGTCATAGGGCAGAGCTAATAAGGCGGCAATTTCAAACCACGGCGCGGAGAGAGATTAACGGTCATATGGCAGAGGGGTTTCCGACTTCCTTCATCCCAGCAACGCGGCGAGGGTTTTAATTGTCATCTCATCGGCACTTCGGCAAAGCTGGGATGTGGCTTTTAACTTTTTATACATTGGATAGATTGGTGAATTAAATACCAACATTATACCAGCTAGAATTTTAAAGCACATTATTTTTTTTGAATACTTAAAGCATATTATTTAATTTGGTTGTTAGCTTTAATTCCTATAAATAGTTAATGAAGCATTATATTCCATTCATAATATGATGTCATTTATGAACCAGGGGATATGTATGCATGACTTTACAAACTAATAATAATAAAATTTTGTGTCTGACAACATTGGTTTAAGTGGATGAAAAATTTTGTCTCTGACAACACAATTTTTGCTCTGATACTAAACTAAAAGTAATTTTGATTGCTCTGATATTTTGAAAAAGTAGTTGAAAGCTGAAAATGAGCTGAAAGTTAAAAAGCTATAATGGGCATTTCCAGACTTTTAATCGTCGAAGGCGCTGTAACTTCCACTACCAGAGTAGAACCCGCGTTTTCTTCTTCTCCTTTTTCTGTTTCTTCACATCTTTACAGTGTTGAGTCCTCCATGGTCAACAACTTCTCCATTTCTGAAAGCTCACCAAAAAGGTATGGGTTTCTCCCGGGAAAAAAGACCAAGGCAGCGATTCGAACTTCAGGGAAGAGGCGGCCGAGCTCCGCCGCCTTCTTGAACAGTCCCTTGCGGCGCTTCATGAACTTCAGGGAAGAGGCCTGCAAAGACTCGATTTTTTTTATCTCGATCTTGGCTTTGCCTTTTCCCATTGACAATTCTTTCGAAAACTATGTGAGTCGCTGATTCTTTGGAAAGCTGTGTTTCGAAACAAAGAGCATTCGAATTTAACACCAGAGGAATGGGAAGAGTAGTTCATTTGAAATTTTGGAGGTAATAACGGTCATAGGGCAGAGCTGATAAGGCGGCAATTTCAAACCACGGCGTGGAAAGGAATTAACGGTCATATGGCAGAGGGGTTTCCGACTTCCTTCCTCCCGGCAACGCGACGAGGGTTTTAATTGTCATCTTATCGGCACTTTGGCAAAGCTGGTAATTTGGAATTATTATTATTATTATTATTATTATTATTATTATTATTATTATTTTGGAAGGTCATTTAAGCATGTTTTTAGCAAGTGTTAATATTGGATATCATTTATATTCTACATATAAATAAATAATTTGCTATAACATGTCAAAAATGTCTAATTATATATTTTTTTTTAAGTTCGAGTGTCTCAGTGTCTCTTAAATTTTTATTTTTATTTTTATTTTTACTAGTATTTTCACCTGTTCAATGCACGAAATAGATTTGTTATAATATTTTAACAATATTTGGATCGATATACAATTATATAAAGAGTTAATTCCAGCCATGGTCCTCCGACTATATTGATTTTTCAAAATTAGACCCCGACTTTTAATTTGGACACTTTAGGTCCCTTGACTTTCAATTTCTTTCCAATTGAGGTCCTTTCATCAAAATACAATTAATTGAACTTTAAATGAAGGGGTAAACTCATCCTTTCACCTGTCTATGTATTATTCTTCATATTTCTCCCTTGTATAAGCGATATATATGAAGATAATCTCAGTCGAAGTCCCAGAATGTTCCTCGTCGTTCCCCATTTATTGACTGCTCATGTGTGTGTTTCTCCATTATTGAGATATTTACAAGATATAACAGCGAAATACGAAGGGAGAAATACGAAGAATAATACATAGACATGTGAAAGGACGAGTTTATCCCTTCATTTAAAGTCTAATTAATCGTATTCTGACGAAAGGACCTCAATTGGAAAGAAATTGAAAGTCAAGGGACCTAAAATGTCCAAATTAAAAGTCATGGGCTAATTTTAGAAAATTAATATAGTCGGAGGACCATTGCTGGAATTAACTCATTATATAAATTATAACATCGAATATTAGATAGTGCAATTGAATAATTGAGTTGTTTCGACTCTATTTTCTAATGTTATCATTGCTTATATTTGTTAAAAACCGACCTTGAAATTATGTATATTGAACCAAGGTTCACAGTACACTGTGGACCCTAGTCCACGATATAACGATTGAATTTATAACTGACAATTCATTTTTAGTCCTTTTCTATCGAAACATCCACATTTGATCCTAGTGCTATTGTGATCAACAAAACAGTTTTAATGCAATTAAATACAAAAGAATTTTGGCCTGTGGATTTTTTCAACAAAAAATAAAATAAAATATAACTGGATCAACTTACTTTATATAAAAATAACCAAAATGCCTTTTTAATTTATTTAACGACATTTCAACGATTTTGTTGACAGGAGACCAAAAATGTTCATACCACAATAATACTATGATCAAATGTAGATGTTTTGATTTAAAAAAAAAAAAGTATACTATCACCTAAGACAAAATGAAATTAACTCTTAGTACTACTAGCAGCATGTGCTACATAAACTTCTTCCCTGCACTCTTTACTAAATTAAGTGTTGAAATGGATTGAACAAAGGCCAATTTAGGTAAACAGTGACTGGAAAAATAATGGCACAACTGTCAATAGTTCCCCCTCTACTGTTCAATCTATTTAAGAGGTTCCCAACACGCTTATGTCTCAAAATGCTATCTGGTGAGGCAGCCATGAATTTCCTCACAGCTTTTAAGCATGGTAGGACTTGACCTTCGAGCAATGCATAGGCAAACACCGCTACACATTTCATATTATCTTCAGTGGGCCAAAAATGTCATGGTAGCTCCCACAGGTGAGGGCCAAAAAACATGGTCAGCAAATGGGCAATAGTATAGTTTTGGATCTGAGAAGGGGGCAGAAAAACTGACCATATTTAACAATCCAATTTGCTTTCACACTTGTTGCTCCATGAATATATGGCCTTTTTGAATGTAGCAGTTCATTAACCATGCAAGCTTGGTAAGAAACCGCATTCACTTTTCTCTCTCTTACAGACAGACCAGAAACTCTTTTAGTGTGTTTAACAATCCTGTCAGGCCAGCCAGCATAGATAGCTTGTCCCCAAGATCTCCTCATTTGATTGAAGAGAATGTTTGTGCGAACAAACCCTCCAAGCAGCTTCTACATCCTCAATGGTCCCATAACTCCATGAGAAATCCTCCCGTAGTTCACATTTTGAGTTAAACACAAGATGAAGAAGCTGCTTCCGCAGCTTACACATTTCTTCCATGGTCTTCAGGTGTAATACATTTTCACTGCCGGATTCCGTGACAGATCAAAACACTGCATAGCACAAGCTATGGTCAAAGCATCACTAGCGGGGTTTAAAAATTTTGCTCGGGAAACTTTAGCAGCTCTTCTTTTTCCTCAATTTTTCTTCTCATCACTTCTCTCACCTTCCTGCTTCAAGCCATCTGGATCAGACTTTGTTTGTTCGAACTCCATATCAAAAGGATTTGACAAGCTCAAAGCGGCAGCTGCTGTAACTGCATAAGCCAAAACTGTATTTGCCTGCGTATAATCTTTAACTTTCTGCATCATCTGAAGAGTGGCGAGGAGTCATTGGGAACTGTGCCATGACCTTCCCAAGAGGTGTCAACCTTCTTTTGACATCAAGTGCTTCAAGAACTTTTAAGCATCACTCTGCTTCAACTAAGGCAGTTGGCTCAGGAGGAGTTGGGAAAGGGAAATTTGCAACCTGAAATTACATGGATATGAGACGGGGTCCATTATTAATGCACAACAACACAAGGAAATACAATAAGCACACTAACCCTTGTTATACCACTAATTCGTTGTTTGATAGGAGGAAAAGAAATAGGAAAAATGAGGCACTCATGGGGACCAAATAATCCATGTGAAAGTGTTTGCAACATAGGATATTAGGTTTGGGTAAATTCGCTAAACCTAGTACAAAATTATCTCCATGCGGGTTATTTTTACAAGGTCAGAAACCTCTGTGCATATAGTGGTGCCATAATTGTAAGCAAAAAAATTTAAGGTGACAAAAAAGTTGAATGCTAAACTTACAAAATTTCAGCATCTGAGAAGGGAGAGAATATGTCATTAAAGACTGCTGAAGAATAAAGGTGATAGCAATGAACAGGTTCAGTTCTTCCTGCTCTCCCTGCACATTGGACTTCATATGTTTCCATCCCATTGGAGTTGTGCCTTTTTACTTCTTCTCTACATGTGTCAACCCACATATTTTATACCCGGACAGCCGGAATTGTCAAAGAGGTCTCAGCCACATTGGTAGCAACAAAAAGGTGCTCTCCTTCCTTGACTTGTTCAAATATACGAAGCTGAGCAGATACAGGAAGCATGGCATAGAGGGGTAGAACACACATAGGACCAGCACAATGAATACTGTTGTTCAATTGGGAACTAGAGGCATTTGATTCACCCTCAACAGTGACAGGAGCAACTTCTCTTCCCGTAGGACCCAGATGCAGAGGCTTTTTTTCCAGCCAAAGCTTCAAAAGCAGCCTTCAATGAAGCAAGGGAACTGCAAATTTACCATCAGACTCCAAGGGATGCTGGTTTAACAGATCCTCCCCATCGGAACAGACTTCCAGATCACTATCATCCTCTGAATCATAGGACATATCTGATTCGTCCTCATAGGTATCCACCTGCTCCTCATCATAGGAATTAAAAATATCTGTTCCTCATTTATCTCCTACATATCTTTTTCTTTGGTGGGTTTTAATACAGACATTGGAAGTGCCTCATTTTTTTCCTTACAGTTTTTGTCAATTATTTCCTTAGAAGCTTTACGTAGCTTCCGGCACAAGAACTCAACCTCCCTCTATCCAGTTACAAAAACAAGTATGCCACAAGCAGGAAGCCTTTTGTGGATAGACAATACTTTTTTATAAGCTTGACCAACATAATCTACAATCTCAGTTCTCTTAGAGCAGTGTGTAGTAAGTAGTAACTGGGTATTGTCGTGTTGGGACTTCTATTACAGGTGGAGGATCATGAAAAATTCTTCCCCCAGACACAAACTTCTCAACCCACAATGTAGCATTGCAAGCAGCTTCGTGCAGGAAGCATTGTTTTTCATAGTAAGTACATATATTGAAGCTAGGAAGAAAATAAAGAGTGAAATAACTGCTGGCAGGGAGTAGTCACCTTTAGGCTAGTTCCTTCCTTGTGTGCCTTTTTTGCGACTGCTGCAGCATTGTCATAACCAATTTTCTGAAATTAACCGATACCACAAACTCAACGAGAGATGGAGGGATAAAGAAAGAAAAGGAGACAGTTTCAGAGATGAAAGGGGCGTTGAATTGTGAAGAGAAATTAAAGAAGATAATTACCGGGTTCAAACATGTGACAAGCATGAGTGACTGCAAAAATTCAGCAGGAGATATTGATTAAGTAAAGCTTTAATTTTGATGAAGAAGAATGCAACAGAAAGTGAAACACAATAAACATGGCCAAATTTTGGATTTCAGCGTAGTCTACAAAACAAAAACTCACCTCGTGTAGTAGTTTAGAAATCCTTTCACTATTGGCCTGAATTCCCCTTACGCAATTCTTTTCGAAAGAGGCTGATGCATCTCCAAGCAATCTTACGGACTGATCATGGAGGATGATGGTGGAAATGTGGAATTCAGTACACATAATTAAGCAAAAGATACACCAAATACATTTCTCTGAATACCCAACAGAGAAACAAAGGAAAACAACAAAGATGGCTAGCAGCACAACTTTTGGTATATATCCAAATAGTTAAATAATGCTTACTAGCACACTTTTGTGAAATAAACTCCCCAAACTTGGTTGAATAAGCTAAAGCCTTATCGTGGGGTCTAATTGGAGATGGTTAACGAATTGTCCCTATCCCTTCCCTCATAACCCATCCCAAAAGAAAGTACCCAAATTTAGATTGTAAATTAGATCCATCCTCTAAATTTCTTTGTGCTATTAGAAGCACTATTGTCGTCTACAGAGGCCAAGAAGTCAAACAAGTAGCATGAATGCTTGTTACTACAAGCAAACATAACTGCCACTCCAGAATACTAACCTCATCAGTCTATAGAAGTTCACTAAATCTCCATCAACCAACATTTACCAACTTTTGACTAACATCTGACCTAGGATGGCCTCAATGAGACGCTCATTACCAAAATAAGGACATTCAATGGACTACTATGAAAACAAAGTACCAAAAACTAGACTAAGATCAGAAAATCCCTAACAATCATCCCTAAGCTCTTGTCTGTTATTCCAAAAATTTTCATCATAGCACATTCTTAACAGAAATCAGTATTAAGGCAAGCAATCCCAAATCAATGAGGCAGTGCAAAGTTGACAATTGGTTGAAAAAGGGGAGCCAGCTCAAGCCAATGCTGTTAAACCCAGATTACAAATTCTATTATACATTCAGCTTATTACCAAGTGTGCAGTCTAAGTATATGTTTCCAACCCTCCCTACACTATAGTATATTTTACTTTACATTCACTATTATCAGTCACTTATTATGGCTTGCAAAAAAAATAAATAAATAAAAACATAAAGACATGTGAAAACATAAGAAATTGCTATACTGAAATGTTTGCAATTGAAAATTGAAATAATACAAAGAGTATTTCAAATAAGAACCTATTGACCACCTTAGTTATCTTTGATCTGCGTGCAGCTTCTTTTGCTTCTCTGATTTTCTTTTTCTTTAAATACTTATCTGTTCAGAATTTCATAAATGCCAGTATTAAAGGTTAGATTAGATTAGTCTTATCCTGCAAAAGTATCCAAAAACTATGGACATATATACATAATCACAAACATGCATATATGGTTTAGGGAAGATAGAAGAAGGAGCATACAGTGATTGACTTCTTCAAGCTGTCAACCTAATGCAGATATATCAGTAGAAACTAAAAAATGAAATACCTTCTCCACCAAGTGAAATGCTCCTCAATGAAAATGCAAGCTGGAAGCCTCTGATCAGAGACTCATGGCTGGATTTCTGCATAAGTTGATAAGAGCAGTCTGTCAAATAATGACAACACAGACACAGGACTAAATTGAACAATGTGTTTGCTCGGTCTAAACTGATAGTGGAATTGTACATTTAACTCATTATATACCTTAGTTCGCGAAAATTTATATAAAGAATAACATCTGTAGGAAATATCATGATCATTTAACAGGAAACAAACATACATAGAGAATGCCATAACACAATCAATTACCAATTCAATCAATGGTCATTTTGACAAGAATTTTTCCAACAAGTTTAACTGCCTTAAACCGAATCAATTTCTTGTCAGCAACTACTACTGACACTCACTAAGAATGAAATCTAAACATGATTAATGCAAAGTTTAGGAATATGGAGATACTCACAAGTCACAGCCTTGCTAAAGAAACACATAGCATATTTAAAAATCCCTAGCCAAAATATTCGAGCCGAATCAAATCCCTAGCACTCTGTCAGATATTCGAGCCGCAGCTCTTCGAATTGAAGATAAATAGCCAAAATATGAGAAATAACCAACTTTGCCAGATTATCAATTCCAAGCATGATGCAAAAAATCACTCAGAAAACCATTAAATCCATAACTGACAAAAATGGAGAAAGAATATATTGCTGAATCTAAATCGACAAAAGAAAGAAAGTATGCTAAAATTACCGTATCACATTTTAAGTTGAATTCGGAAGGGGAAGAGAAACGCAACTTGCAAAAGAATCTCTGAATCAATGGTCGTGAAGGAGACTGAGAACTGTGATGAAATACAGAGTGATGGAGAATGAGACTTTGAGAACAACACTTGAGTGGTTTCATTCTAATATATATTAATTAATATATTATATACCACCACTATATTTTAATTGGGATTTGGGAGCAGCGAAACACATCTTGTATCTGTTTAATAGTGGCGGTTTCCCTGAACCGTGGAAAATAAAACGCTACAAATATTATTTAAATAACTTTTAATTATTAAACCGCGGCAGTCAAAGAATCCGTCGCTAAATATTTATTTCGCGACGATTATTAACAACCGCCACTAAATTAGTGTCGCTAAATAAGTCTTTTTTTTGTAGTGTAAGTGGAAAAACATTTCTTG